AGCCCATTCATGCACGCGCCGCCGTCGACGAGTGCGATCACGTCGCCCGCGGTCGGGAATGTGCCGCCCACGCCGACGGCGGAATTGCAGCGCACGTTGGCGAGAATGCATGTGGATGCGCCGGTGAACAATGACGAGGATGCCTCGTGAGGGAGGGACAGCGGCGACAGCGAGGTTGGGAATTCTTTTGGATAGAGCGGGGAAAAAGAGAGGGTGAGCCCGCCGAGATGATGGTGTTGGATTGGATGTGGCGGCAGCGGGAGTGCGCCAGCGTGCCATGGTTTTCCTGGGATTCCGGTTCGGTTTTATTGCGCATCATGTTCGATATACATTGGGGTCGGTCGCCAACCGAGCGTTTGCGAGTTTGGCTGTGATGTGCGCAGATCAGAGACCATCCAGGTCGCCGGGTTCATGGCCAGCAGAGCAGCTCGCCAGCACGACGCTGACCCCGCCATGACGACCGACCATGGCCAGCAAGACACCTGAAGACAATGGAAAGTCGCAAGACATCAACGGATGCAAAGTTATACTATTCACAAGATCACAATCGGCCGCAACCCACATGCACGCAAGACCGCGCGCCGACCCGCCCTCCTCTCGCCCGCCCGCTCGCTCGTCGGTGCCTTTACTTTGGCGAGAACCCGTAACTGCGCAGGCACGCCTTGTGCCGCTCAATAAACGCCGCGCAGTTCTCCTCGCCATTTGCCAGGACACACTCGTCGCGCTCGCGCTTCGTGTCGGGGCACACACAGCACGGCTTGTAGACTTGGCCTTCGGCGCCGACCGGCTTGCCATCTTGGTTGTAGCCCGTGAATTGCTTGGGGAATTCCGCGTCGTACTGGCCGGGCGTCGCCTTGGCGCCGACGGTCGGTAGTGCGGGAGCGGCGGTTGCTGCGGGTGCTGCAGGCGCGCGCGCGGGGGTCGACGTGGTGTTGCCCATGATGCTGAATAATGGAGAGCGCGGCGCGGCGAGACGTGTGCGGCAAGTGGTTGGCCGCGACGGGGTCTGGGGAGAGCGGGAGCGCGATGTCGTGGACGAGGTGGTCGGCGATCTGGTTCTGGTTGTTGATGGTTGGCAGCCGTCAGGTAGACCGGTGAGCGGCGCGCTGACTTGGTGATCGCGTCACGGTCCGCCCAACTTGCACCACCGTTGTCCATCACTTTCGCACGATGCGCCAAGAAAGCATGATACTTACAAAAATGAAACGCAAATCCAGCTCTCGTTCACTCTCCTCCGCCCGCGGGCAGCGGCTGCATGTCGACACTACTGCGCGGAACGGCAAGCACGGGCGCGACCGATGCGTGGCACGACGGGTACGGTCGCCGCGTCCAATGGTACCGGCCAAACGGCGTTCCGCACGGCTCGCTCGGTGCCACGGTCTCTGGCGTTGGCCGCCGCCGTGCGCATGCCGGGAGCGGGCATCGTAACTCGCCACTCTCTGCGTCTTCACTGTTCTAGAGGTGAGCTGGTCCAGGAGCCACGGCGGCGGCACAATGTGCATCACGGCCGCGTCCGCGCCGGTGCGCAATGGGCAGCACTCGGCGTGCGTGTGCCCAGCGGCCGTGTCGTTGGACGGGAGGAGGTGCCGGGCAGTGAAGACGGCGCGACGGCATTGTCGGCACGCATACCGTTGCGGAGAAGGCGTCGCTGCGAGTGCTGGCCAGCCCGTGGGCGGACGCGCCGGGAGGAGGGACACGGTCAGAGACACCGAGAGCGATAAGTAAAAAGCACTGTGCTTGCGGTCGAACGCTGCACGATCTGCAACGCCTGCGTCACAGCATGCTCCCCATCATCGTTGTCGTCCCCATCACAACTTGTCAACCCGCGATGCAACAGGTACGCCATGACCATGGCCACCGACCGCGAGCACCCCGCCGCGCAGTGCACGAGTACCGGAGTACTCCCATCCTCGGCTGCGGCCATGTGTGCGATGACCTGCAGCAGCACGGGTAAAATGAGTTGCGCGTGCACGTCGTCCATGGCCAGCTCGAGCAGCCGGTTTTCTTGTGCGAGCCGACGACCCACGCGCGTGTCGGTAACACCGCCCAACACGGATAGAACGCGTTGGTACTTGAGACCGTGTCGGGCCAACGTGGTCAGCGACCCGAGATAGATCAGCGGGGCGACAAGGGCGGGCGGGTCGTCATCCAGGAGCGCTGGGACGGGTGGCGGCGGTGGCGTAGGAGGCGGTCCTGCCGGTGGTGGTGGCACGGAGTGCAAGCTGCTGCTGGTACTGTTGCGGGCCGCGTCGTCGTCGTTGTCGTCGATGTGTGGGGTGATCGTGGGGTGGAAGTTCTGTGGTGGCTCGTTGGTGTGAATCGAATCCGGCACGGAGTTCACGGTCCTGTCTCGCGCCGTCCCGCGCCCAACGACTCCCTTCGTGCATCTGTTTGCATCCACTCCGCGTCCGTCGGCCGAACGCGCGCAAGCGCCGATGCGCCCGCCCCAAGCGGCATGAAACGACGGAATGGCCCTAGACTTGCCTCAAGCGTGCCGCAATGCACTCAGACCATGGGGACCATCCCCTGCCGTCGTGCAGATGATGACGACGATGCCGCTCGCGCAACCATGGCGCCCGCCCGACCCGCGACACTTGTGTGCAAGCATCACGACACTTGCCGATTGTTATCGCCAGAGAATGCGTTCTGACCTTGCGCGCGTTTCCCCCACCAACACCGAACCTGACTGGCTCATCGGCGCCGTACAACGGACATGGTCGCGTCACGAACGGTCTCCCGCTCGATGCGAACCATATGCGATAGGCTCCCCTTTTTTCTGTGGGGTGGATGGGCAATGACCGACCTGCGCGGCCTGATGTAGGTGCTGCTGTTGCAACTCGACCTGCAGCCGCTGGTGCACACAGTCATGCTCAACGACGGGCACGTCTGGACCGCGGAAGCGATTCCGACTGCCGCGGCGGCATCATGGCCTGGCCGAGCTCGCGGCGGCGCTGGACCCGAATCCGGGCGCGCAGCTGCAGGATCTCCGGCATGCCTCGTCTCTGGTGGATGCGGCAGTACTCGCTGTGCAAGTCGCACGCCGGCTCCTTGAGCGCCACGTCGTGCGGCAACCGCAGGAGCAGGTCTACGCCAGGCCACCTCCGCAGGAGCACGTTCGCGTCGCGATGGTGCAGGAACCGGTCCATGCTGAGCCGTCCGTAGGGCCTGTGCACGCCGTGCTGCCGCTGGCCTACCGGCCCAAGATACTGCAGCCGCTCGCTGAGCCGCCGCGCACCATGCCTCCGCGGCCTGACGTGAACAACGGGCATGTCATTCGCGTCCTGAAAGCCCATGGACGCGCCCGCGCGCCGCGCCGAACCACGCGGCGACCGTGCACCGGACCAGCTCTTCTTGCCCAAAGCGCCGGGGCAAGAGGAACCTGGCTGTCGGCCGCCGAGATCGGGTTGGAACTCGCGCGGTTCGCGGCGTGACAAAGAGGAAAGTGGGAAGCGCAGGGACTGGTGCGGGAACGACGCATTTTGCGACCGCGATATGCGCCAGCATCCGCGTGACGTGCGGCGTCGCGACCATGATCAGCGGCGGCGGAGCCGGCCACTGGACGGGGATCCGAGGTCGAACGGACGCAGCCGCACGCCGGCCGACCGCGACCGGCCGTACAGTCGCGGAGAGCGTTCCTCGCTGCACCCGCTGCCGGCACCGCCGAGGCGCCATGGGCACCCGACGAGGCGATCGGGAGCAGTCGATTACGGTGCGCTCGACGTGGACGATGACGATGCGTGGGATGGTTAGATCTTTGGTTGGCCGGGGGCCAAGGTCGATGTCGTGGGTGGGTGGGTGTCAAGCAATGATTGTGTGGTTGTGTGATGGACGCGCTGATGCGCTTGTCGCTGGTTCGCTGCTCGGCGGCAAAGGCGCGAACACGTCACAACGCGCGCGACGCGAAGCGCGAACGGCGGCCCTTGCCTTGCCGCTCGTTCACGCTCTCAGAAGTCGTTCTCCTACCTCAGTCGTTCAGCTCGCCTCTCACCGACCACGCTCCCGCTCCCGCTCCCGCTCCCATCATCGTCACCACGACCGCGCTCCCGCCATCTCACGCTCCCCGCAGCGATTATCACCGCTCACCACCTCCCCGACCGCGCACCGTCGCTCGCGCGCACATCCACAGACCGCGCTCGTGCTATCCCGCGACCGCACGCTCCCCGACCACCCGCCCCACACCCTACCGCCACGCCGCCATGCGCGCTCTCGCTTGCGCCATCGCCGCGCGGCCCGCTCTCCTCGCTTGCACCACGCGCGCCGCCACCGCACCGCACCCGATCCGCGCCCTCGCGACCGCGCGCCCGACGCCGAACCCCGCGCCCGCTGCCACTGCGTCCTCGCAGACCAACCCGGCGACCGGCGAGCCCTACATGGACCTCGACGCGACGTCGAACCGCGGGTACGGGACGGCGACGATCAACGCTGATGTGACCGCGACCAAGGACGCCGAGACGCGTCCGTCGCACGCCGACACGGGGTCGTCGGCATCCGCCAAGTCGACGGCCGAGCTCTACAGCGAGGACCATGCCGAGCCCGTTGGACCGACGGACCCACGGCGCGGGATCGATGTCGAGGAGGCCAACGCGGCGGCCATGGATCACCCTGACGGGCCGGATATTGATCAGGATGGCACGTTCCAAAATCCAGCGGCGTTCTCGGACGGTTAAAAGCTCGGCGCGGCGCGGTAAGAACGGCGTGGTAGCCATGCCGTCGCGCGCACCAGCTCACTGGCGGCTACGACGGCCGTGCCGGAGACGGCGCCAGGGCTATCGGCGCGCGGATTTAATCGAGCAGGCCATTGACCGGACCGGCGAGAATATGTTGCTTATTCACATCCAACACGGAAATATAAATTTGTTGCCGGTTGGGTTGTAAAGTGCTGCCCGCAAGGCTCGGCTGGCTGGCTCGGGTCCGAACGAAAAGCAATGATCGTCGTATGGCTAGCAAATTGAGGTATGTATAGGCTTTCCGCGCGTTCAGGCCATCCAGAAATGGACAAAGCCGGGATGACCGAGCGGTCTAAGGTGCCGCACTCAAGTTGCGGTCTCGAAAGAGGCGTGAGTTCGAACCCCACTCCCGGTATCTGATTCAACTGTGTTGAACCAAACACTCTGTGCTTCCATTTGCCAAGACTGCTTTTGCATTTTTGTTCCACGCGATGTCCATCCGCATCTGCAGCAAACGGCCACTTCCGTTCAACAGTTCAGCAGGGGCCCACCTCCACCACTTGCATTTTTGCCCGGCGCATTCGCATGCCGACTTCGATCACATAACCCGACCGATGCGTAGACTGGTGCACCGCTGCGGCCCATCGCGCGCGATGGCCATGGGACCGGCAAGTTGCTGCACAGCAACACGACCAACATCAGCAACGGGTTCATGAACGGGCAGGCATGGTCCATCCACCAAACGGCCGAAAAAGTCATGAACGCCAGCATGGGTGCGACGCGGCTTGCGTGGTGGACTTTCGATGAGCCCGCGTGCGCAACGACGACGCAGCCCAGGATTGCTTCCAACCTGCCTTTCGCGGCGAGCTTCCATGACCACGACGCGTCACCAAACCACCCTCCATGGCCATCCGTATAAAGACCGCGCTGTGCCCCTCGGGGACGGCCACGACAACGACGACCGGGCTGAGCTGGTCTTTTGCTCGCCGCCGCCACCATCAAGACTAGACGTGCCATTTGCTCCCCATCATCGCGCCGCGCATACCGTACTACCCCCAAGATCACGCCCGGTCGCTGGCCGACCTCCTCGCACCCGACGATGCCGCGCTCCATGCTCCTCGCGGCGCTCTTGGCGCTCATTCTCCTCGGCACCTCTGCGCGCGCCGCGCCCGCCGATGCCGGCCAATGGATGGTCGAGCTCGATCCGACCGTCGACGTCGTCGCGGCGCAGTCTGCCATTCGCGATTTTTACGCGACCGAGGGCTACTCGGCGCCTGACGCACTCAGTACCGAAATTCTCACGATTGGCGACGGGTTCCGTGTCCTGTCGGTGCCCGCGGGGCCCGACGATGAGATGCGCAAGCGGCTCGGGTCCGTCGGTGGGGTTAGCCAGGTGGAGACGGAGGCAAGGTGGGAGTTGCATGCGCCCGTCGTACCGGACGTGCCGTATGGCTTGGGTACGTTGGAGTGGGTGGGTGGAGTGCATGGGTGGGTGCGGGCAGAGAAACTCATGAATGGCGCGGAAATGAATGGATGTAGTGCGCATTGGCCATGTTCTCGGCGACAAGAATGCGACCGTGAACTTGCCAAAAGATGGTGGTGACGGCGTCGACATTTATGTCGTGGATAGCGGCGTCGAGTGCGTTCATTCCCCGTTCATTTCACGCCCAACTTGTCTACTCATGGCTGACCCGTTCGCATCAACCAACTAGCATCAAACACCCGGAATTCGAGGGCCGCGCAACCGTCATCGACATGACGGGCGAGGGCCCTGTCGACGTGTTGGGCCACGGCACGCACACGGCGGCCACCTGTGCCGGTAAGTCCTTTGGCGTCGCCAAGCGCGCACACGTTATCGGCATCAAGGTCCTCGGCAAGGGCGGGTTCGGGACCGACTCGACCATCTACGCCGGTCTCGCTGCCATCACCGACCGCGTCAAGCAGAACCCGACGCGCCCGGCCGTCATCAACATGAGCATGGGCAGCAAGCGCACGTCCGACCGCGCCGACTCGATCAAGCGGCGCGCGATCCAAGCACTGACGCGACTCGGGATCGCGGTTGTCGTGTCGGCCGGCAACGATCACCAGGACGCGTGCAAATACACGCCGGCGTTTGTGCCCGAGGCGATCACGGTCGGCGCAATCGATGCAAAAGATACGTTTGCCGGGTTCTCGAATTACGGCGCGTGCGTGGACGTGGTCGCGCCCGGGGTCAACATCGAGTCGGCCAAGGCGAATTCGGACGGCAAGTACACGAATATGACGGGCACGTCCATGGCCGCGCCGCACGTGGCCGGCGCCATGGCCGTGTTGCGCGGATTGAACATGACGCTCGACCAGGCGACGCAGACGCTGATCGCGTCGGCACGCACGGGCGAGATCAAGGGGCAGCTCCTCGGCACGCCGAACCGCCTCTTGTTCTTGAACCCGCAGGTGCTCGCTGCCAAGAAGGCCGGGAACGCGACGGTGACGGCGGTTGTCGCCAAGTCCACGGCGACACCGGGCAAGCACATTGTCCAGCCGATCCCGCCACTCCCGTCGACCTTGTCCGCGTCACGCACGACCACGTATGCCGTCACGATGCCGGCGAGTTCCTCGGCGGCGCCCACGAGCGTTACACCGTCCCCAACTCCGGCCCCCGCCCGCTGCTACGACGACAAGCAAGGCACCGGTCACGACCGCGACCCCCGTGTCCCCGCCGTGCACCAAGAGCCAGACGGTCGTTCCGCCAGCACAACCCACGAGCCAACCGTGCACCAAGACGACGGTGATTCCGCCCGAGGAGCCCACGCGCGCACCGCCACCCACGACCACTCCGTGCACGAAATCGTCGACGCGGCCGGTACCGACACCGGCCAAGAGCCGGTGCGTCCGGTACCGCACCAAGAAGCCGAGCGGACCCGCGCCGTCGGGAGCGCCAACGACCACGGTGTCGGTTGCCGTTGCAGCAGCAGCAGCAGCAGCAGCGACGAGCGGGTCCACGACGAGTGCTGCGACGCAGGTGGCGGGTCGTGCAGCCATGACGCCAGTGCCGAGTAGCGCAGCACCGTCGCAGGACGGGTTCTACTGATATCGGCCGTGTTTGGATGAGGACCAGTTTTGGGCCTGTCTTATCTTGTACATTTGTCGTTTGTTTTGCTTCCTACTTGTCCATACACCAAGATCGCTGCAGAGCGCAATGCAAAGAAATCTATCCACCGAATCTTCACCGTGTCTCTCCACCACTTACAGCGCGCCAAACTCGGCACGTTTCCGCCACCGCACGACACGGTACACGGCCAGTGCGCCCGTCACGATCCCCAAAATAATGCACAATCCGAGAACCGCCGGCGCGAGCATATCAACGTCCTTATTCTTGACGTAATTGGCGGCCAGAGTCCACGTGCCGACGGCCGTGAAAATTGGGTCCTTTGCCCACGTCGCAATCGCGATTTCCATGACGCCGAGCACCACGAGCCCGCCAATCGTCCAGGCGACGTAGGAAGGGTCGCGCGTCGTCGAGACGGCATAGACGTTGACCCACGACGCGCCCGTAAGCCACGCCGTGTAGAGCGCAAAGCATGTGTGCACGCAGATCGCGTCGGTCCACGTCGGGTCGGGGTACTTGGACTTGAGGCTAGCATTGGGGTGGAGAGATTAGCGCACGACGAGGGAGGAAGGGAGGGAGGGAGAAGAGGGAAAGGGCGCGTACCGCGCGTAAATAATCATGGTTGTGCCCCACATGGCGATGATGATGATCACCGACATGGGCAGGATGCGGTAGCCCCAGACCAGGATCCACGCAATGTTGAGGATGCCATTGCCGATCCACACGAGCCCGACGCATGAGTTGATGGCGGCCGAGTCGTAGGACCGCGGCAGGATTTGGTAAACGCCAAAGATTCCGAAAAACAAGTAAATCAGGCCCCAAATGCCTACACGAATTGCGGAAAGTCATGGTCAGCTTACATTCTTTGAACGACGGGCGGAGCGCGCCGCCAATAACGTACTAAACGCGAATCCAGCGGGCACAAAGTAGTTTGGCAGCAAGTCCGAGAGCTGGCCCGTGTTGTAGCCGCCAATCAAGGTCGTCGACCCTGCGAGCCCGTTGATGACGAAGACGGCAATGAGCACGAGCAGGTTGAGGGCGCGCACGACGGGTACAGGCACGCTGGCAAGCGGTGACGCGAGCTTGGCCATGGCGGGAAGCTGAGCGGGCGAGTTGGGTCGGTGCCGTGGCGAAAGTGCGGATCAAGGTGATAGCTGGCGTTGGGCCGGATGCCGTCGTGGGGAAGTGGCGTGCAGTCGAGCGAAGCGCGGGTGGAGAAGGTTGGCAAGCGTGCAGAGAGCAGCGGGGGTCCGGTCTGGTGCGGGGCAGAATAGCCTGGTGCGGCGCGTATTTGATGGCGGTCGGCTTGTCGTCGCTGGGTCGAGAGGAGGGCGGGCAGGGTTATGGTTCGGAGGGACACCAACGACGTGCCGGGGCGGCTTGCATCAGCAGTGATGAGCGCGTTGCTTGCACTTGGTGCGCCAGCAGTCGGGGCGGGTGCCGGCGCGGGGTCGAACGTCGATATCGCGGGAGACAACAGTGACGGGCAGTGGCCAGGCCGGGGCCCGATCGTCGATGGTGCGCGGGAACGTTCGAGAACCCGCCTCTTCACATCGCGATTTGGGCAGGAGGAGACATTGAACGTGACCGCGTCAGAAATACTTTCGGGTCAGTGGCCGATGCCTTTCGGTCACGGTCGGCCGCCATCGCAGCGCCGGCAAACCGCCCCGCACCGCTGGCGCACCCGAGCACCATGGCGACTCCCCGCAGTGGTATGCCACAGCGTGCCCTTACGCGACCCGCATCCCGCCTCCCAGCCGCGTGCTCCGCGCTTGTTGCCCAACTAGTTGAGGGCGAGGGGCTCCTTCGCCGCACCAGGTGCCGCCAGCCGACCCACGACACTGATTGCGGCGTCCCGTAGTCACGCCGTCATTGGCGACCATCTCCACCACTGCAGCTGCCGCGGCAGCGCTTGATGCGCTCGACGTGCAGGTTGCCGACACGGCCGCAGCGCTCCATGCTTTCACGTACGAGCTTCAGGCAGCCATGGGCAACGTAAGCCTTCACTTCGTGCGGACCGCCGGAGATCCATTCAGCAGCGTAACCGCGGCTCATCCGCCGTGCCCGCTAGATTGCCGCGGCCGCACACACGACTACGGCACTCGTGCACGTTGGTGCGCAGGACATGGCCGACCAAATGGCCTTGGCCGCACAGCAGGCCGCTGGTGTTGTGGCTGCATGCGACGAGCTCGGCGCTCGGCTCGACGAGCTGCCGCAGGTGCAGGCGCAACTGGACGTGTGCCTCTCTCAGCAGACCGCCGTGCCTCTTTCGACGAAGGCTGACCGCGCATGGTAGACCTGTTTCGTCCAACAGATCTGCCATCCAC